TCCTTCCAGAGCTACGCAGGAACAGCAAGGTTCTGGACTGAAGGTTGTTTCTACTTGACTTATCAACACCACAAGGAAAATCCTCTGCTGCCCTTCTTGGCCAACCTCAGTTCCAGGCACATCAGAATCAACACTGGGATAGCACCCATACTGCCCACAAGTGTCACTTGAGGGAAAAGATACGTTTCCAAACATAACTTCATATATACACACTTAAACATGAAGCAAACCAGTTGTGCTTCCACATGACCCTTGTGGACATTATCCAACTGCTATCTGCAAGCCCCTCCTGTTGCAGCAGAACGGAGATGTCTCTCCCAGCAGGAGTGCCAAGTGTCACACATCTTGTGTGACACACCTTTGGCTGCCCTTGCCTTACAGCTACAGCCTGTCCAGGCATCACGCATCAGCACTTAGCTCATATTTATGTCTTCTGGCCAGCAGATCCAGTCCAGAGCTTAATGCACACACAGGTGAGTGTCCTGCTGCTGACCGTCGACAGCCACATCGTGGCAAATCCAAAAACCAAACTTCTTAATTCTCACTGAACCCACATGCACCACTGCAGCAGGCTCCTGAGGCAGGAGCCTCCCTCCTCAACAATGCTTTCACATCCAACCCTTACAGTGGGTCTTCTACCTTCCAGGAGACACTCTTTCAAACCTCTGCAGCATCTCTAATCGTTCAGACTACCAAAATGCATTAACTCCAGCAGCCAGCATCTTTTAGCACATCATTACCATTGCCTCTGAACTCTCAAACCTCTGTTACACCCTAGCCACAGAACATCACCAGTGTAAACATCACTCATGTCAGACTGCATCGCTCATGTCAGACTGCGTATCAATTGCAAGGATCACCACAGTGACAGCTTGCAACACCAACTTTTTCCACCCCCCATCAGCTGTGGCTATGAGATGACCAAAGGGACCAGAAATAACCTTTACACCCAGCTCTGATTTGAAGTTGTTTACTCTTATGACAGCTGGACCCACATATTTATCATTAAGAGTTTCACCAGAATTAAGAGCACACAACCAACCCTGAGCCACAATGTGCTCAAAGCAAAAGAGAGGAGTCTTGTGTGATCCACAAGCAGAATGTGAAGCCTGACCCAGCTCTATTTCATTTACTGAATTTGAGAAGCAGTCTATTAATAGTTCACTACCATTTCCCTGCCCTGTTTCTCCATGCCAGGGCAACAGCTCTGCTAACAAACACCAGAGATACAGGCACACATTTTCATACTGACACTGCAGAGCACAGCTAAACCAATTATTTCAATTTAAACAGAAGTCACACTCACAAGAATTAACTGGAAACAGACAAAATTGGTCTTGAAGTTCACTTAGTGTGAGCAGACAGCAATACCAGACTCAAGCTTTCAGGTATAGCCTCCGTCTCGTTTCTTCTCCCAGATTTTCTAAATTATTCTGTTCATTTACACTACAAAGTCTATCTGGCCAATAAATTACCAGCACAGATAGTAACCTGCTACTATTTCGACAGCAGATGAATGCTGCCAGCCAGCAAGGTCACTAACAAAAGCCAAACTACCACACTACTTGAAATTCTGGAGTTACTACCCTTTTCAGGAAAAAAAAAGCTGGAATTTTGATAAAGGGGCATACGACTGTGATGATCATCAGGCATCTCGCACCTTCCTGCGACAGCAGGACAAGACAGCCCAACCTTTCCCCATTTCTCAACCCCCAAAAAAAAAAAATTAAATACAGTGGTGGTATTCACAGTCCAAGCAAGAACCATAAAGTACAATGAGGCTTCTGCATTTCACAGTATCAGGTCTGACTCTGCAGAGTCCCTATACATTCCCAAAGGCAAACATGATGGGCATTTTGAAACCATTCATCTAACTAAACAGAATATTTGGCTTGCAAGCAGGGGAGTGGCAAAGCCTGTATTCCTTATTCACGACCCAGCCCTACTCAGGAGTGCAACTGTTATGCCAAAGCCTCACCACACAGCGACTGCAGGCCATCAATTAATATTAATTATAGCTGCTGAAAACTTAAGAATGCAAACCCTTCCAAAACTGCAAGGGCACACTAATCCTGCTCTAGCACTTTAGCTTCATAAAGGAACAATAGCCTTATTTTCTAGCTAGAATTCAGCTATACAGCTTTCACCTCTTCAGACAGGTCTAAAGCCCAGATCACTTGGTTAGCGCTCAGGTCCCGCCCTAATCAGAGCTATGACTTCAGTTCTGAACCCTAAAGCCGTGTTTTCAATGAAATAAAGCCACTGAACAAGAATGGCTCGCAAGGCCTTTGTACAGATGGACAAAGACACACAGGCAACAGCACAAGTGGGCTCAAAAACCGCTGAGCCAGGACAGGATTAATGCCTGCATGGAACCTCAATGCTGTCCACTTTCATTTCCCCGCTCCAAGCGGAACAAGCGCAAGTGCATCTCCACAAGAAAAATACTACAGCCTGCAGCAATTTTTCCACAAAAAGGCTCCGGCCTGGGTTCTGATGGTGTGAGGCTGCAGAGGAAGGCATTTTGTCTCCAACAGCATGGTGATATGATGGCTTCCACTCAGTCTCCTGCTACCTATAGGGAACTTCAAATTTGTGCAGAGAAACACATATCAGGGCAGATCTAACTGACACAGCTCACAATAAAAAAAAAATAATAAATTAAAGCAGCCGTGAATAAAGTAATTTTCTCGACAGCACCCTCTGAATGTTTTCCCTAAAATTCCCCAGCTGAACTGAGAGTATTCTATAAGTCAAAGAAACAACACAGCCATTCGCACCTTCTCCCATTGCCTCCTCCATGCAAATCCAGTCCAGAGGCACAGGCTTTAATCCTGTAGCCGTTAAAGGCTTTTGTCATTCAATGAGGCTTTCCCAATCCAGACCGAAGTACTGGCTTCCAAAGTCACATCCCATCTCACATTACCTTCGGCGTCACTCAACACTGCACACAGCAGAGTTTAAGGAGACCCAGCAGCCCCTGCCTCCAACGGATTCACACCTATTTCTCTAAAGCAGCCAAATAATTTTCTTTCCACAATTAGAAGCCTAAAGCAAATCCTGTATCAAATTGAAAATATCTAGAAGTAAGATCTAATTTGGGCTGAAGCACATATAGTGAAAACTAATGGGAATTTGAGCATTATACAGATTTTTTCACACAGTCAGTACAAGAATTCCTAAACAAGGGTAATTAAGAATATGAAGGCCGTTCACCAGGTAAGAAAGCTTTCACACTGCAGTTTTCCCTTCCCAGTCTCAGGTGTACATGATCCAGCACTTCCAAGCAGTGTTCACCAATACATTTGGCAGGCTTTGGTCGTCAAAGCTGCTCCATTACAGAAAATACTTAGAAAATCCATTTATGTCAATCCTGCTGCTAGAGCACTCTGAGAAAACGTGGCATCATGCTGAATTCTGGGTCTGTGCTATGGCTCTGCAGCAATGGGGCTGGCCTGGGCTGCACGGACTGACAGGAGCAGCATCAGTCTCTTCCAGCCTGCCCTCCAGGAGCACCCCGGCCACCATCCCTGGTGGATTTCAGGCTGCTGAAGTAGAAGCCTTACACACTCCGGATTCAGCTCCCAGCAAAGCCAGACAAGAACCCAGGCCTGCCCCCAGGCTTTCCTGCAGCAGCTCTCTTTTAAATCCCCTTAACAATCTCCCAGACCCCCCTCTCCCCACAAACCCACCAGGACCCCCGGGCTGAAGGAGAGAGGGGTTCAGCCCCTCACCACCAGCCCTCGAAACCTTGCCTGGCTGCTCTGTCTCCCATTCTGCATCCCTGCCTGATAAAAGCCAGGGAATGCACGACTATGAAGACTGAGAAGCATTCCCCGTAATTCTTATTACGAGAGCACTGCTGCAGTGAATTATGATTATGTTGTGTAATGAAATCATCAGAGAATAATGTACATCCATCCCCAGCTATCCCAGGCAGCCAGGAGTAATTTACAAACAGACTGGGCCAACATTAAAATATAAACAACTAACCAAGAGCTCAGACATACAATAACACGTTATTTCCATGTCAGTTTCAAATACTCTAGTAAGCCATAAAGCTCAGCTATCCAATGGAATTCTAAAGATCCCAAATTATAATGAAGAGTTAACCTCCTTTCACCTAAGTTGCAGAGTAACTCAGGCTGAAAATAAAACAGTATTAATTCTGTGTTAGGTTTTTCTCCTAGATAGGTTTCATTCCAATGGATACCAACAAAAGTGAGGTAACAGGCACTATAAGCTTCACTATAAGCAAAAAAAAATTAGGCGTGTACTACTGTGATTTTTACCAAGGGCTACAAAACCCACCAAGAACAGGGCAACAGCAAAAGACAGCATCTAAACCTTCGTTCTCTTTAGATATTGCTGGATGATACTACTTCATTCTGAAGATCTAGAACTTTAATGTAAAAATCCGCCTTTTCAAAGCTATTTGGACAGATAAGTCTTTAACCTAACCAAAGTACTGCAAACATGGTACCTAAAAAAGGGCAAGCACCGGGGCATATTAGGAGATTTGATTCACCAGGACAGCGACAATTTCATGGCAGGGGAGAGGGAAGGTCGGGGGAAGCAGCCTTCATGAAGCCATAACACAAAAGGAAATCTTCCTCTGCAAACGCACTCAAATCACTGACTGTCGGTGTCATTTTAACCGGGAGCTGCTGCCCCGAGAAAGGGCTGGGGCCAGGCCCAGCATCCCCGCTCCGCCCTTTCCCACGCGGCGGGAGCCACGCGTGACCTTCGCCGCCCCCGGCGGGCCCTGCGCGGGCAGCGGCGCCGGGCCGAGGGGGTTAAGCGTGGAAGGAGTGTACATAATAAGGTGGTGGATCCGGAGCCAATGGGGATATTGCGCTATAGTTAGACACTGGATTCTAAGCGATGGTGACCATAAAGGATGCTCAGGGCTGAGCTGCTCTGAATGACACCAGCACGGTGCCTTTAGCTCCCGGCTTATAAGGCAGAAAAAAAAGCACAGGAGGATCAGCTAGGCTTACCTGCAGTTCACACCACGCGACTTCCACCCACGTCTCCGTGTCCAGACCCTTGTAGACCGTTTTGAAGGATCCCCGCCCGAGTTCAATATCAAACTTTAGGAACCTGCCATCGGGCGAGGTGGCAACCGCTTTCATATCAGCTTCCTCCTCCGGCTCCTCTTTCTTAGCCTTGCCCTGGTCCTTGGCAGCATCCTGCGCCTCTCTCCGCTCCGCATCCTTGCCTGGCTCCTTCGGCTCCTCGGCGCCCGCGGCGCTGCCCGCGGCCGGCGCTGCCCGCGGCTCCCCGGAGCACTCGGCCTCCCGGCCCGCCGCCTCCGCCGCCCCCTGCCCCGCCTTCGCCCGCTCCGCGATTATCCTCCTGGTTTTGGGGAGCAGGATGATTCTCCGCTGGTGCTCCGCCTCGGGCAGGTCGAAGGCGGGCTCCTCCTGGTCCGAGTCCACCACGCTCCTCCGCAGGAACCGCTGATGGACCAGCTTGGGGTCCCTGGAGCCGGGGCCGCGAGGCGGCGGGGTGGGGGCCCCAGGGGCTGCCGGCGCTGCAGCAGCGTCCGTGTCTGCGGCTGGCCCGCTCCCCCCGCCGCCGGGCCCATCCATGTTCACGCCGGTCTCCGCGGCCGGGGGAGCGCCGGGCTCGGCAGCCGCTGGAACCCCGCCACGGCCGCCGCCTCTGCCGCCCCGCAGAAGTGCCGCTCTGGCATCACCCCCACTTTCCATCCGGGCCGAGGGCTCAGCGCCCGCCGCAGCCCCGGCCCGGGGGAGTCACCGCGAGCCGCGCCCGCGCCGCCACCTGCGCGGGGCAGAGCGCAGCCCTGAGGCGCCGCCACGGCCCGGCCCGGCCCCAGGGCACCTCCCCCGGCCCCGGGGCTCCGACGAGCCGGGCCCCCGGGCCGGGCCGCGGCCGCTCTGACCGGGCTCCCCCCTGTGCTCGGCAGGGGCGCGGCCGAAAGCGCCAGACGACCGGTGCAGCCCCTCACCTGCGGCGGGCCCGCGCACAAAGGCGCGGCGGGGCCGTTACTTACGTGCGGAGCCGGGGGCTGCCGCGCTCAGCGCCATGCGCGGGGGAAGGCGGGCGGCGGAGGAGGGGCGGCTGCGCCGAGCGTGCGCCTGCTCGGGTGCGCGGCGGGGCCGGGGGAGCCGTTGCCGGTGCGGGGCTCCGCTCAGTCTCTTCGCCCCCGCCGCAGCGCCGGCCCTGCCGCGCCTCCCGCTCCGCGCCCCTGCCCGCGGGCACCCTGCGGCAGCCCCGCCGCGCCCGCGTCCGCCGCCGCTTTTTTTGTCAATGGCAGCGCTCCCGGGCAGCGCCCATTTAGGACATCGGCGCTCGGCGGCCGCCAATGAGGCTGCAGAGGGTGGGCGGCCGCCCCTCGGCCCCCGGTTCCCCCGCCCCGCCCGGCCCCGCCGCAGACAATGGGAGTGTCCCGCGCCCCACCGCCGCCTCGCTCCGCGTCTAGAAACGTCCGCCCCTCGGCAGGTTCCCCACGGGCCCGAGAGCATCCCCAGGGAGCATCCCCCGAGAGCGTCCTCCCACGGCATCCTCCCGACAGGCATCCCCCGAGTGTATCCCCTCCAGAGCATCCCGCCGAGAGCATCCACCGAGAGCCTGCCCTCCACAACATCCCTCCCAGAGCGTCCCCCGAGAGCATCTCTCCCAGACATCTCTTCCAGAGCATCTCCCCGAGCACTCAGCGCCCGCGCAGGTGTGGGATGGGTGCAGGGCGCGGGCCTCAGTTCCATCTGATTTCTGGATCCAGGAGGTGGCTGTGCCAAGCAGCCGATTGTCACGGTTGCAAGCAAAGGGAAGGTGACTTGAAGGGAACTGGATACTCTTGGCACACAGTGTCTTTCAGCATTCCTCAAATGCAAATTGTGACCGGGGACCGACTAGTGTGGCCACTGCAAACACCACACAGCCCACCCATATACTGCGTGGCAGGTCACAACACATGACAAGCCTCACGACCTTGGGTTATCTTTTTTTGTTGTTTTTTTTTTTTCTTTATTCCAGGCAGTTCAATAATCACTCTATGGATATTAACCTCATCACTCACTGTGAACAACACTTCAAATTAGCCTAGATAGAGGGAAACTTTGATCTCGACGCCTATCTCTGCTTTGAAGAACCCAACTGGAGCATTACCTCCAGTTCTGGGGGCCTCAGCACAAGAAGAATATCAACCTGTTGGAGCTGGTACAGGGAAGGCTGCAAGAATAATTGGAGGGCTGGAGCCCCTTTGCTCTGGAAGCAGGCTGGAAGAGCTGGGTGTGTTCACCTGGAGAAGAAGGGCTCCAGGAGAGCTGAAGAGGGATTTTGGGCAACAGCCTAGAAGGTCAGGACAAAAGAGAATGGCTTCCCACTGCCAGAGGGCAGGGTTAAATGGGATATGGGGAAGGAATTATTGGCTCTGAGGGTGGGGAGGTCCTGGAAGAGGTTTCCAAGATTCCAAGAGAAGCTGTGGCTGCGCCATCCCTGAAAATGTCCAAGGCCACTTTGGATGGGGCTTGGAGCATCCTGGGATAATGGAAGGTGTCCCTGCCCATGGCAGGGTTAGGAATGAGATGGGCCTTAAGATTTCTTCCAACCCCAACTTCTGTAATCCATCCTTAGGTGAGGTCAGAGACGTGGGACACTGGCTTTGCCAAAGGCTGTGCCCTGTAACAGCTGTGACATTTCTGCTCTGTAAATTCACAAAAGGACTCTGGTTGCCACTACTGCCAAACTGCTTTCTCAAGTATTAGGTTCATACAAACATACCATATGTTTTTGTAATTAAAATTTAAGTAAATAAAGAAAAATAAAAAGAGAAGGTTTACCAAGTAATTATTCCCTTAGATTTCTGAGGGAAATGAAGTTGATTGACAGGCAACCATAATTAGTTCTTCTTTTGATTAATTAATTTTCAGTTAAGAATGATTTTTTAAAAACACCTTTAAAATAAGAAACTGGATAGTTATTGTCATTAGAATCACTGGTGTTTTATTTTTACAAATCACTTTTACTTCACTAATAATTCAGCCTCAAGGATACATTTGGTCTTTCAGTGGTTTGCTTTTTGAAGTGTTCAAATGTCAGTGATATTTCTAGGACTTCCAATTGTGGCATGAAACATGGATTTGTGTGCTGTATAGAAACCCGAATTCCCAAATATTAGTCCTGTATGCTGGGCTCTGCACATGGAGGTTTGGTACACAGAGAGCAGTCTGCAGTTACCAGGAGAAAAGAAGGGAAGGTGAAGAGCTCTGACACTTTCTCCTACTTATTTCATCAATTGACCTAAAACTCTCTTCAGAGCAACAGAAATTCCCACCGTCATGTATAAAAAGAATAAGATTCAGGGTAATGAGAGGGCTAAATGTAGCTGGCAGCATTTCACTCTGCAGGTGGACAGGATAAAATGAGAATATTCTAGAGCTGACCAAATACCAACCACAAACCCACAAGCAAGAAAAATATGGGAAGGGGCGGGGCGAAAGGAGACTGGATTTCCCTGTCTACCAGGCCTTGCCGGAAGAAAGAAAGAATCTGTACACCCTCAGGTGTAGGGAGCATCCCACCCTGCCTCAAGAGGATACATGAGCACTGCCATGCTGCACCAGTGTCCCCTGACGCCTTCCCAGGGCTCCACAGATGAAAGAAGACCTGTTCTCACAGCTGAATTTTTGTACTGTCCAGTGCCACATGGTGCCCAGGGCTCTTTCTGTGTCCATTTGTCTACTGAAGACTTGGCAATAATTTGCATGTCACAAACTTAATCGTGATCCACTATCAAGTGCTCTGAGTCTGTTACATGATGATCTTTAATATTCTAAAATTGAAAGAAAATGCTTCTTCCCAGACAGCTGTTTGACCTTTTCCATGCTGCCCTCTGCCTGCTCCACATCCCAGGTGAGTGAGCTGGGCAGAAGTGTGAGAGGACGGGGCACCACGGGACTGGGGTCCGCACCCCACTTGGGCAGTGCCACACCTATAGAGCAGCGTGGCACAGCGTGGGCAGCTCTGGGACTGGCCCCACTCTGATCCAGCACTCCATGGCAGCAAACAATGGCCAATCCCAGCAGAGGGATGCCACCCACCAGACAGAGAACTTTTCCTCAGCCATCAGGAGCTGTCATTCCAGCCTTCCCAAGTGTCAATGACCACAATGGACACACAGCCTCGGAGGGATCCAGTGCCCTGTTCTGCCATGCCCTGTGCTCAAGCAGTCCAAAGCCAGCCCCCTGTCCCAAACTCATGCCTGATGGGTGAGGAATTCTCAGCAGGCATATGTGGTGGACTGGAAAGACACCCAGATTACAGACTGGTGCACTCTTTGTTTCTGCTATCTACCCAAAGCCCTCAGCACTGGGAACAGTCACCTACAAGCTCCCTTTCTATAAGGGAGAACGTCTGTCCTGGGCAGGGGACCTCACAGTGGAACAGGCTGCACAGAGAGGGTGCAGTCTCCCTCACTGTCTGTGGACACAATCCTGTGCTCAGAGTAACTCTGTTTGAGCAGGAGCACCAGGTGACCCACTGTGGTCCCATCCAACCTTCTCCATCTTGTGATGGGGTTTTATGGGGTTGCCTCTACTTTCCTCAGTTTACCCAAGACAGAAGCCTGTTATTGATTTTCCCCCTCACCTGTTTCAGCCTGTGCCAGCCAGCAGACACGCAGACACAAGGATGTTGTTCTACCCACACAGCTTGCTACATCAGTGTGTTTTGTTACCAAAGGGCATGGAAAAAGATGAACAGTTGCAGTTTTCCTGAATGTTGGATCATCAACCACCATCAGAGCAATCTAGAAGCGGCTTCACCCTTCAGAGTAACTGGTATGCAGATGGCATTGAAAATTACAGCACATTTCAACTAACAGGCAGTGAAGGTGCTGCCTCAGACTGTGACCGTAATCAAACCTTTGACTTGGAGAACTGCTCCTTGCAGGAGTGAAAGCCAAGATGCTCATCCCCTGGGTGAAGTTCTCTCTCCATGCACAGCGCTGAGTGAGACACGTCACCCCAGAGCACAGATGGGCATTTCCCCTTGACAAGCAGATTACCACAGGTCTGTCTTTGACTCGCCTCACTTCTGGCAGGAACAGTCAGTCACTCACTGACACAGAGCAGGACAACTTGTCCCAGTTAATAGCTAGTGTTAGTTTAAAGGGAGAAAAAGAACCATTATCACTTAATAACAGCCCTTATTTTCCTTCTGTGTTTGCTAGTTTTGAGTGAGGAAGTTCAGTCATGTTCCACCAGCTTGACTTTCAGGTTCTCAGATACTGAGAAATTTTTTATTTGTTTAAAATAAATGCTTGCAGGAGACCATGGAAACCTTTGTACTGGCCTCCAGTTTTCAATTGCCTCAGTATTTTATATAATTTATTACCAGATTGAAATCAGGTCAAACACCTTTGGAGAGCTACGTTCAGTTGCACCCAGGGCATGCTCTTATACCTGCACATGTGCTGTGGGCCCTAATGTAGTGTTATGTAGTAATTGTTTTTTCTTTGAAAGAACAATAATGACCATTTAAAAACCCAGCTTCACAATATATTCTCCCCTAGGTCATCTGCGTTCTGTTCTAATAATTTGTTTATAGAGACTATAGATACAGTGGTCCAAGTATCATAGAATCCTAGAAGGATTCAAGGTCATCCTATTTCATCCCCTGCCATGGGCAAGGACACCTTCCACTGTCCCAGCCTGCTCCAAGCCCCATCCAGTCTGGCCTTGGACATTACCAGGGATCCAGGAGCAGCCACAGCTTCTCTGGGAAACCTGTGCCAGGGCCTCCCCATCTTTATAGTAAAGAACTTCTTCCTAAGTTATCTCAAGTTAATGGTTGGACTCGATGTTAAAGGTCTTTTCCAACCTTAATGACTCTAATTCTATGATACTCAGTCATTGAGCTAATACAAACTGATCACAAAGCTGTAAACAAGCATCTCTTTATGTCAGAATGATGGATGCTGTTTGCAAACTCACCTTGCAGGTCAGGCAGCCAGGCAAGGGCAGGGAGTGAGCAGTGGGAAGGTGTGTGCCACCCTCCTCAGGAGGGGCTGGGCTCCATTTATCTTTCTTTATCCTGCAGTGTGACACTGGTACTACACATCATTCTAACATGCATGACAAGCTTAGACAGAAAAAATGTTACATGTTTTTAATTCCTACAGAT